GGTTCAATACAGGCAAGAAGACACCCAAGCCCACTGATCTGCTCCAAAAGCCGCTCACGTTGTACACTCACCCAGATATCGCACTTGCCAGGGAAGAACCTCTCCGGGATGCGGGCGGCGTACAGCGCGGCACCGGTGATGTACAGGCAGGCCATGAGCGCCAGCCAGCCTATCTGCCCCATGGTGGCTGCCTTCAGGAGCCCCTCAGAGATGACAAAGTGCAGGGTGGGGATAACCCCACTAAGACCCAGACCTAGAAATACTCCTAGGAGGTTAAAAAAGAAAAAAAAAAGTGGGAGAGTCAGGTTTGAACACAGTGTCAATAAAAGGACAAAAAAGAACAAAATAAATCAATGAAGGGCTCAGTGTTTGCAAAAGTAGCAGAAAGGTCACAACTGTTGACACTGGAAGTCCTCAGGATAGTTTTAATGGAAAGTAGGCTAAAGAATACAGAGAGTTCCTTGATATACTAGAAGTTACTTGATTAAACATTCCTGCAGACACTGAAATATTTCCTCTGAAGACTGTATGGGCCGGCTTTGATATACATAGAACTAGTTACAGTTCTTGGACTGTAGAGGGCACTGAGAATACACAAACTATGTCACGCTTTACCATAACCCCTCAGGATCAAGCCAACAAGGAGTAACAAGGAGATTTACCATTATAGCGCACAAGCAATCACCAGAAACAAGAGCGGCATCTCAGGCTCACCTGCCCTATATGAGAATATGGTTTATTCATTTAGATTTGAGCAAAATTTATTTTGGGACCTTTGATCGTGTGAGTATAAAAGTTGGGCTCTGTCTCAAACATGTATTTTCTTTAGACATATTCAGATTAATTCAATCACTCAGATGATTTGCTAATGTCTGAGCAACACCAAGTAAAAATACACCAAGCAAACCAGGCACTTTTCTAGAGAGCATATTTGCTCAATAGTGCCAGAAATACCTTGTACTATCTTTCCTATTACATGTGCCACTGACTGTTTCAGAAATGAGCATCCAGGACTTGTGCTAGTGGTTATTTGTGTGTGCATCCAGGAGGCTATAATCAATGCTCAAAGAACACCCATCGAGCTCCCAAACCAAGAATTGTTCTTGAATCCAAAATGATCTGTAAGATTATGCACTCTCCCCCACACTGTCTTTTCAGATGATAAATAGGAAGGATGGAAGACAGTCAAGAAGCAAAACAATTAACTTCAGGTCTTACCTGCCCTTACACCCCGGTATTGAGGGGTTGCAAACATGTCCCACTGTGAGACAATTATGGCTGCAATGCCCAGGACACAAATCACAATCAAGTAGATGAAGCAAGGCTGTGGGTTGCAATAGAAGGAGTAGTACAGCCACGGTACAAAGCTGCCCATAATGAGAAGTGCAATACCAGAATAATCCAGCCTAGAGTGGAATAAAAAAAATCAATTTGATTTAAAATATGAAACTTGAGAAGTTTTCATGCCAACACTTGTCTGGTACTTACAGCAAGGGCCTATTTATCTGCAAAATGAAGTTATTCTCACTATCAAAACTTATTCCCCGACTGCAGCTTTCAGCCAATTCCTTACTACAGCAATGCATTACCTTGATAGGCCTTGATGGTAAGGCCGTTTAGGACAGTCATCAGCAAGAATATATAGCAGCCTTTAGATCCAGACCATTTGAAGGAACCTCAGATTAACCTTTGGATGAGGATATGGTGCTTGAGCACACAAAAGGCACACAGCATGTTATGAGAGAACAGCCAACAAAAACACTTTTGTGTCTGACAAGTATGTGTTAGGAAGGCATCATCTTAAGTGACCACTGGGGAATAACATCACAATTTTTCAGCAGAGCTGTTTTTCCTAGACACCAATGAATTAAAAAAAAAATCTTACAGCCACTGCTTTTTTTGCCACTCCATGGCAAAATGCTCCTGCAAGAAAAGATGAAGCTAAGTCTTCAGTAGAGGATTTTAATTCCTGAGTTATTTTGGAAATGGTCTTGCAGGTTTCACAAACCTAGGTTGAGTAGTCTTGGGAAATACAAGGTATAAATAGAAGGTATATAGCATCTATCCAAAGCAGAATGCTTGGTAAAACAATGACAACAACAACAAGAACAAAAAACTTAAAATTTTAAGACTGAAAAAAGGACATCTTGAAACACGTGCTGAAGCTGTCTTATGTAATAAAAGTTAAGACTTGAAGTTACCCAAAATAATTTGAAATGACGGAAGTGACAGTCACATTAATAATTCAAAGCCCTGTAACTAAGCTGTAGGTATATTACTTACAGCAGTAATATATATGCACATGCCTGCCAAACAGTGGTAAAAAAAAAGTTTCATGACTAAAATAGCAGCACAAAAACAACCTTGCTGCAACACACAATGACCAGAAAAGCTGCACTGAATCTTCATGCAGTTCTGTTCCACCAGACGTGCAATCACATAGTGAAGAACTCGCACACTGTGGCTCCAGGCCAGAGTCCCAGCTCTGTCTTCCCAAGTGTTTCCGATGTGAGCTACCCTGTCCCCTAGACACTTACTTGGAGAAGAGCCGAGAAACACCTTCTGAGTGGCAATAAACGGTGTGGAAGAGCCATGAGAAAGAGAGGCAAAGGATGGCTCCCAGAAAGAACAATCCAACCACCACTTTCTCCTGCACAGGTGCTACAAAGGACATGTTTGGCCGGAACATGTAGAAGATTCCCAGACACAGGAAGAACACACATCCTGAATAACAATAAGGTAGAAAGGTGTCAAGTTCATGCAAGCTGAAAGCTTCCTTTCCCCCTGCCTCAAAAAAAAAGAAAAAAAGTATGGGAGTTCTAAACACTGCAATTGCATGACAATTAATGGCATTCAAAGCACTGCTTTGCCTCATTTAGGCAACCACATTTCTGGCTCAGACTGAAGCAATACAGACCCACATGTACTCTGTATTTTTACTTATTTTGCAAGATACTTATTGCAAAATGCAAAAGCAGTAGGACATAGGTCTTTTTTGAAGCTCAAAGAAACCTCTTTTCAAAGTTACTTGTAGGCTGAAAAAGCATTTAAACAAGTTGCAAGATAGGTGTGTACCTGTAGCCAAAAAAGTGCATTCAGTAAACATCAACAGCACTTTGGAAGAGAGACTATCTATTTGTATTTTATTAACCATAATGTTGAATGTCACAAAGTCTCATTCAGCCTCTACAGAAGATAATTTCAGGTTTCTCTAACAGGTTACTAATGGAAGGGTAATGCTCACTACCTTCTACTCCTTCCTATCTTGCTCTCAAAAAGCACAGTGAGACCTATAACCATTAAAGCAAATTGGAAATACCTAGAAGATGCGTCCAGATGTTACCAGTCTCTGTGTGTATTCTGAAGATGCTCTTGAAACAAGCCCGGAAGGAAGGCATGGGTGGTCTGTGCCCATGCAACAAGTAGTCGTTATCCTTCAGCCAGTCGGGCAGAACATCGTGAGGAATGACTCTCCATCGGCCCTCCCACACCTGGAGGTTAAGAAGGGTTTGGTTAAATGCAGACAGTCGAGCTCCATTGAGTATGGCAAAAATGAGAAAACTCAAATTAGTAGAACTGATAAGTTAACAAGTGAGTGCAGTGAAGAGAGAAATAGGTCAATGCAACATTTCTGTAAAAAGCCTTTACACCTGAAATATGAAGTCAGGTCATTCTTCCTGATTCAACTCAGTGTTTCATTATGGATTTGAGCTGCACCGAAAAAAATACTTCAACATCTCATTTAAATGGGAAAGTTATCAGACTTTTTCCTGCTTAATGAAGGGAAAACATCTAATCTAATGAAGGATTGCACATTCTGCTGTATATATTTTCACAGATCTCCCCTTTCATTTAATCGAAGAAAGTAGCTTATACCTAGCCTACCTATGAGTAATAATTTAGGCTAGAAAGCATGAATGGACAAGAGAATCCAGTGAGAAGTGTCCCCAATCTTATCCAGGTTGGGGAAGGGAAAAAAAAAAAAAAAAAAAAAGACTCCCACATTCCAAGAACAAGTAATTGCAAAATTAGTTAAAGCAACAGATCCAAGACTCTCCCAATTTTGCTGGATTTCTTCTTAAAGGAGAAAGAGAGAGAACGAATGCACACGTATGCAGCTGATTCCAAATGAAAAAGTGTGCACAGCTGTGCTCAGCACTGCTTCAGTGACAGAAGATACATGTAATCTTCAGTTGGGCTTCAGAAGCAGAGGGGCATCAGAGAATGCTTTATGTACCGGGGTGGTTTCTGCAATGTTCCTCGGATTTGCCGTCTGGCTAGTAATACAGGAGCCAGCCTGAAGAATCCTGCAACACTAAGTTTAGAGACTGCATTCTTATTTCAGTTTCAACATCAAGAGGCCACAGTGTTTTTAGTCAGTTCTGCTCAATATTTCCCAGAAGATTAACAAAACTAAGCAGAATTACCATCCCAGCTGAAGACAGGATGCTCCCAAACCAAAAATATACCCAACAAAAGAATTAACTTGTTTACTTCATGAAAATATATCTGAATTTTGACCAGCAAGAGAAAATTTGTTTTACATAACACACCCTGCAAACACCTAAAATGGAGAAGAATTCATAGGGAAAAAAACACCACAGAAGAAGCCCTAATACCTAGAACTCCTCTGTAAAAATCAAGCAGTAGCTCACAAAGCCATGAGCACCAATTGAATGAAGGGGCAAAACTCCCTCGCCAAAAAGAAGGGCGAGAGACCAACATAGACCACGACATCAAAGCATAGCAAAAACTGACCCAAGGTCAGCAATATTTACAAAATTAGCAATGGATTTATTCAAATAAACTTTTTATAGAAACCTCCCTCCACCCCCATTTCAGTAATAACTGAAGCTAATCCTACAGTGCACGCAAATGGTGCTGCGAAAGCAAAATGTGAGCAAGTCTGAAGCCGCCTGGGAAAAAGTGGCCTTGTAAATGAAAGTGCCTTCAACCAGAAACGCTAGAGGCACAAATCATTTATGCTGCCTTCTAGCCACTGGTGCCTCTCAGACGGTTATCAGATGCACGATCAGCTTTAGAGTTTCTGCTTCAGTTCGTAACCCCTGTTGCTCCATGCTTTACAGTCTATTCTTTTACAGTTGACTGTAATCTCCCAAAGCTGTAAGGTCAGTGGTTACTACGAGAGATGCCTATTCCATGCGCTTCCCCACACGAGCACTGCAGGGGCTACAAGTTATATAGTCTGCTGGTCATCTGAACTTCCTAAGCAAGGAAATTGCATGGGCAGCTTTTCATTTCTGGTTTTTACAAGCTCTTACCTTGCACACGAATTCTTCCATTCTCTCCATAGCATGGTGTGCTTGTAGAAGAGGTGACATACCCATAAACCCTTCATCTTCTTGAGGCGGTTCATTATCATGGTTATTATCATCAGAACTCTGCAGAGAAAGGGGGAGAAAACATTTTATAGAAAGATGTAGAAAGGCAATGTTTAACATACTAGACCGCCTATTTGAGGTCCTCACAAATATAGAAGTCTTATTCCCTTGTGAGGAAGGGATTCAAAATAATCAGGAAAGATATTAATACTTATTCTACATTCTCAGATATCTAACAAAACTCACATGTCAAAGTATTATACAGTCTGCAGTTGTTTTCCCCAAGTTTAGAAGAAAGCAGTGGTGTGCTGTAAGGTATACTTCATTAGCCTAACCATCTCTATGGATAGATTAATTCCTATTTTATGTTTCAATACCACTGCCCCTACCTTAATGCCATTTAATGTATTTGGCATTTTAGTATAAGAAAAGGCAAGCCAAGGGCAGGAATCCATTCACCTAGTTATAACCAATTCACTTCAAATTTCAGTTCAAAGCTGAAGATCTATTAAATAACACTTCTGTTTACCTCATAATCCAATAAGAGATTTAACTTACAAAGTATTTCAATTTTTTCAGTATTCATTTTTTTTCTATTTAACTTACAAAGTATTTCAAAAGTTAGTACGAGACTTCTTCCAGGTAGAAAGCAGTAAAAAGTATCAGGAAGTTTTAAGCAAAATTCAAAAAAAAAGGAACATCCATATTGCCAAGGCTTATCAAGAGCTATGGAGGGTAGGAGAGAGGGAAAAAAAAAAGAGTAGCAGGATTTTCAGCTGATAAATATATCACTAATAAATACATAGGAAATAGTCGCTAGGTTTGGCTGTTTTCTACACTATGTTGACTCCCCATTTAATAATACCATGCAAGTAACCTGCATATGATATGTTCTAGCTTTTGAGGGGAAGGAGAGGGGAAGGAGATCCACATCCAATTTGCACGAGGCAGAGCGTTGCCAGCAGGAGGTTGAGGGAGGTAGGGGGTGCTTCCCTCCCTCTGCTCAGCCCTGGTGAGGCTACATATGGGGAACTGCATCCAGGTCTGGGCTCCCCAACCCAAGAGGGACATGGGGCCCCTGGAGGGAGTCCACACAGGCTACAAGGTCATGAGGGGACTGGAACACCCCCCCAGAGAGGAAAGGCTGAGAGTGCTTCCCAGGCTGAGACTAAGAAAGGATCCTATCAATATGCTGAAGTTTCTGAAGGTAGGGTGCGAAGAGGATGGGGTGGGATGCAAGGGACATAAATTGAACCATAGGAAGTTCCATCTGAACATGAGAAAAAACTTTTTTACTGTGAGGGTGACTGAGCACTGGCACACATTGCTACAAGAAGTTGTGGAGACTCCCTCCTCACAGATATTCAAAAGCTGCCTGGGCCCAATCCTGGGCAACGTGCTTCAGGTGGCCCTGCTTGAGCAGGGAGGTTGCACTAGATGTTCTGCAGAGGTCCCTTCCAACCTCAACCATTCTGTGATGCAGGGGGAAAGGAGCAAATGTGCCCACTTTGCTGCCATCAGTGCCTCTAAAAACCTCAGCTTCCAAGGTAAACGAGTTTGAAGAAGCTAGAGAGGAGAAAATCTTCTGCACCCTTCAAGTTTGATGTAAATCACCACATACCTCATGACCAAACCAAGAAAAGAAAACACCACAGTCCATTTTCAGACTGGCCTCCTCCATACCACAAGCCATGACACTTTTCTCCCTCCTATTCCCATATCAAGATTGACAACTTGATATCAAGATGAATTATCAGCAATTCAGTCTTATAGTGATTGAGAATCTAATATATAAATTAATATCATCCTCTGAGTTTTGCATCAGAAATCAGATCTTGCTACACATGTTCTGTGTTTAAGGTCCCTCCTGAGAAATAAGGCCTTGATGACTATTTCCATCAGTAAGTTATCTGAACAAGCTTTTAAGTGTGCCTTTTTTTTTTTTTTTTTCATAAAATGAAACCTCAATTTTCCAGTCAACTATCTCCATAGACCTGCAGTCTTTATTTTCTTTTGAGAGGGAGGAACGACTGGCTAATGCCTATTTACACATCCATGGGTTGTTATAGGAGCTCCCTATAACTTCAGCCTTGGAAGAGGTCCCCTTGCATCACAGTTCTATTGAGAAAGGCATCAGGCAACACAGATACGCTAATGGTTTTAACATCCTTTTAATATACATGCATGTCCTCTTGGACCAGAAAGTATACTAAACATTTATATTAAGGTTTTTTCTTTTCCTTTTTTTTTTTTTATAAATTCTCACCCAGGAAAATTTAATGATGTTATTTCCCCCAGTATCAATTTTACTAGCTGCTAAAGGATCTCTACTTTAGGTTTCTTAATTTTCAGCATTATTTATAATTCACTCAAGGTCTGGATGAGACACTCATCACAAGCTCACTTGCAAATCAAAGCAATCTTCAGTTGCTCCTAAGTTCCTGATGCAAGATGCACTGCTCTGCATCCCCCAGCATCACCCAAGGCCAAGCTGGATGGGGCAGTGATGCTACCCCCATCAGCTTTGGAAACTGGAAAA